ACTCCTGCTGGAGTCTATTCTTCTCCTGTACAAGTCAGGCCCTCCTGATATGCAAATTAACATTCATTCGTTTCCTTTCCTGGTTTAAGAAGCACAAATGCAAAACTGGCATTGATTTTGAAGAGGCACAGCTACCCAGCTTTATTTCTCCTGATTCTTATATTCTTAAGAAGCATTTGTGAGTCCAGGAAAAAAAGATGACAGATACTGTGGAGCTGTGAGGTTCATACTTTTCAAATGTTAGGGTCAAACTATTTGAGGTGCTCTGCAATTCTTCTCACCCTCTTTTGGTCATTTCCAAGGCACATGATACGTATACAGTAGTTTATTTTCTGCTAGAAAATACGCATCTATGAGCAAAAAGAGACAGAAGAGGCACACCAATTCTAAAGTGCATCAACGATAAGTGTGACACAGCAAGTCTCTGCTGGCACGCTGCCTTCCTCCCTCCATCAAGTGAAATGCTCCAGAGATACACCATTTCAAATCAGCCAGGGTGAACAAGCTGGCTCCTAACAGGAGGGGAGAGGAGGACAATCGCCTTAGCTTTCTAATAACAGAAAGTGCAGACGAAATCAAGCCACGGTAGAAATACATTTACAAGAACTGCATTTGGCAAAGCAACGGTCAAAGCCCATGCCCTTCTGAAACATCTGCATTTGGCAGCAACACCGTACCTTAACAGTACTGCACACACGATCTAACTGGCAGGCAGGCTAAGCCTCTTAAGGCTAATTTCCAATTAGCTTTAAGCACAGTCAAAAGCATTTAGCATATCTAAAATGATGCTTACCCAAACCCAAAGTTTCAAACTTTGCCGGTTCCCACTGGCACACGTTAGCTTTCTCCAACGTTCATTTGACATCTTTTTCTCAAAACTAACCAGCACAACCAAGAGTCAGTTTTTCATCTCAAGTTACAGTTAAGTACTCGCAGAGAAATCTGAACTCCAGAAGACATTGGTAATGATCTCGATGCTAGCAACATTCTGCAACATTCCTACTTTCCTTTACATTGAAATACTACAAGCAATTTCTCGTGTAGCTGATACAAAGAATTATACGTGCATTTTAATTTTCTGCCATTGGAGAAATAAATGATAAAGCAGCAAAAATACTGTTTATTATGAATAAGAGGACTCTCTCAGAAAAGAGCTCCGTCATTTATCCTGTCACTCCCAGTCCTCGTCTGTTCATTACATACTGGTAGTCTGGTAAATAAATATATCTTCTACAATTTCAACATTGACTCAAATTCCCTGTAATCAGGGGCACATGTTTTGGCAGAGATTTAACAAGATAAATGCATAGTGTCATTACTGAGGCTATTCTGAAGTTTTATAAATTAACACTTTCCTGGTAGCTATAAAACGCAGAATATGTATTCGGCAAGCACATGACTATATATTTGATCAGAGATGTGGCAATCACTTCAGGCGTTTTGCCATGGTGCTCTGGTACAGACTGTATGTCTATTTAGGAAAATTTCTTTTTTTCACATGCACAGTGGCCGACAACAAAGTTATTGGCTAGACAGATACTCTTCCCAGTTGTACTCCTGTTACTGAGATCAAAAACTAGTAGGAATGCCATTAATGTATTCTTCCATAAGGAAAGATCTCAGCAGGTACCAAGATCAAAGGTAAATAAGAATTAAAGAAGTTTTAGTCACCTCTACAGGTAATTCTTGCTAGCTTTTTCTAAATTGTAGAAGACAAAGTTAAGCCAATACACAACTGTTCACCAGAGGAATTCTATGACATTCTGTGTCATTCTGTAATTAAAGACAAACTAGTCCGACCTCAGATATTCTAGGTCTGTTCTGGACAGCCGCTGCTAACTTTCCACATTGCACATGTCCGTAAATTGCTAGCATGAATAGATAAAGGATAGAGCATATTCAGAAGAATTTGTACATTTTTCAAATACATACACCAATAAACTGAATTTTACACACTGTGAATGATGCGCAACGTTATGAATATATGTAGACATAAAGAACCTATAAGATTCTCAAAATTGTCTTTTTGTAAATCTAGACTTTTAGAATCTTGCAATGATATTTTGCTTCCTTTTTTTCCTCTTCTCAAGAGGCTTAGCCTTCAATCACAAGTTCTCTGTTTTCTGTTGATGATGAGTAATGGATGAAGTCTATTAAAACCCACTCTGTACCAGCACAACATGTTTTCTAAAATGCTATGCCAATGACAAATAAGGTGCAAAAGCACAATAAAATCGCCTAACTTTTGTTCACGTCACTGTAGTTAGGCCCCTAACCAAAGCAAACTGAGAGCAACACCTAGCCCTCTACTCCAACAGATTTTGGATAAAACCCTGAACCTCTTATAAATAGAGAAGCTTCGTTTACCTCAATATTTTTCCTATTAAAAAAGAATGTGCATCGATAGTATGTATGACTTCTGCATACTTTCCAGGGTTTCATGATGCCATTTGTCCAGTCATCTACAGTCAAACTGCATGAAAAGTATTGAACTCTTTAGTAAGTAAAATTAAAAATAAATGAAATTCTTCAAAGAATTCATGTTTTTTAATCCAGATCTAATATACCTTAATGAAAAGCACTTTATTACTTAAAAAAAAAAAAAATAAAAGATTTGACATATTAGATAGCAACCTTATAACTAGTTTCTGGTTCATGTCTTAGTAGTAATGACACTAACAAAACTCAAAATACAAAGGCAAGTTTAATAATAAAAAAAGATTCTTTCTTCCCCTTCAACCAAAGAGAATGCAACTGAAAAAGCAAATAATAAAATTAAAATTGTTGATAAAAATGCAACTATTTGCAAGACACGCAAATTCGCCATGGCCCTTTTTCAAACAGGTATGTGCTTACGTGCTTTTCTTTCATTTCTTCTTACGTTCTTTCTGGCCATTTAACCACTCAGGACCTCCAAACTGGCAGCACTTATTTTTAAACAAAATGGCCTGCCTATGCAATAATAACGTTATTAGTGCACTTAAGAACCTTTAATAGCATACGAAGACCGTTTTCCTCCCATTCCTTCATCTATCACAGCCTCTCCTCTTGCTAAAGAGCTGCCTATAGCCAAACTCTCTGCTCATCCACAATTATTTTGTTTCTACTTCTCACCAATCAAATGAGCAAAACCTGTGTGAGCAACAGATGAGTAAAGATGCCTGAGAAAGCCACAGGTTTTACTACTTATTCACAACAGAATCTTAAAACAGAATCTTAAAACAGAAATGAGCTGAGAGTGCTCTTCTTTGCAATGAGTCTCCCACTGCAACAATTCATGCTCACAATTTGCTAATTAGAAATTATGTTAACTTTTCATATAAATAGAAAAAAAACGTGGAGCTGTGTTCATTGCATCCACACGAGCCTTCCCATATACCAGGAAAAGACGAGACCAACTACTGGGCCATATTCCCCTTCTCCTGTCGTTCACATAACAGCAGATATCAGTAACATTAGAAAGACACAAAATTAATGCTGTACAGACAGTACTGTTACATGTCATTTCTCACCATCATTAACAAGTGTGCCAAGCCAAACAGTCAGAAATGCACCTAAAAATTAAAGGGATATTCTGGGTGCCTTCATTTCAATCTGTACTGCAGATATAACTCAAAAAAAGCCAGAGAATGTAGAAATTCCAGTGTCATATTGTTGCAAACGCAAAAGACCTCATTGTTCAGATAACTAAAATAAGACAATTCCAGAAAAATATTTGGTATCTGCCAGAAACTCAAAATTTCTACGCAACTTCAGGAAAAGAAAAAAAAACCCACAAAGAAGATCATTCTGGGGTACATCACATTCCAGACATAAAAATGCTTGAGGAAAGACTGAACTTTTAAAACTCAAGGAGTGCTGGGAGAGATGAAATCCACCCAACAGAGTGGGACAAGATCATCTTTGTCAACAGGCTGACCAACTCGGTGAGGAAATGGTGCATGGGGTGGAGAGCAGGTGGTGCGTGGTGATAGGGAGAAACCTCAGAAATGGCAAAGTATGGTGAAAAGAATAAAACAGAGCAACCTAGGAAACCAGCAGGAGAAACCAGAGCTCCTCTGGTGGTCACAGAACTGCAACACCGTTGGAGTAAGATGTGGTGGAGTGGGATACAGATGCTGCCTTAGCAGCCCGGGCTCTGGGTTTGAGAATGCGTCACCAGTGACAGCAGAGTGGAGGGACGTGTGAGAGCCAGACAGACAAAAATAACCACGCTTGTCAACAGGTTCGGTTTCCACAAATACTTGTGCACCTGAATTTGATTGATTATTCAATGCTTTTGAACAAACTACAAACCGTTCAGTATTGTTGGCTTTTCTTTCCAGTAGCTAAAGTCTTATTTTTCATTGTCTTTTACTGGCAAAAAGTGGCTGTTTTCCTGTACTTTTCAACTATCTGCCAGCACTTCATAAATGATTCAAGATTCTACAAAAATCATCATTTGGAGTGAGAGGAATGTTAAAAAGCTTCAGAAATCTTGTTCAGAGCTAAGAATATGTGGCTGAAACAAAAGTGGAAGATTTTTGCAGCTGCTAATAATCCACAAATGAAGAAATACAAACAGCCTGGGCCAGCATATTAAAAAGTCTTTAAAGTTTGCCCTGCCATTCTATCCATGGAGGGGGTAACTGTTCTGAAGCCGAGAATCTAGGAATCAAGGAACAGCACAGGGTTTCAATGCTTCACCTACGAGGCAGGCAGGGAGCACAACCCCTAACTTCAGAACACACTATGAACATGGGAATGACACGCAGCGAAGGCTTGTTGCACCATTCAAAATGGGTTTGAGCGAGCTACGACAGTAAGCCACATCTGTCTGTCTGTCAAGCAACACGTCTGTCACTGATATCCCCCAAACTGAAACAGAATATGTGCAGCATATTGAAGAAGGCATTATTGAACTGCACTCCCTGGCCAATGCAGTCATCTTATTAGCATGCTTCATCATCATTTCAGTCAGAAACTTTGACACAGAACCTGTGTTAAGATGGCTCTCTTACCTGATAAACATGGAATGCATTAGCAGCTTTTCCACGCAGAAAGACTGAAGGAATCCAAACATTAATAAGAGCACGGTTTGATCTGAGGAGGAGAGAGAAAAACTTAAAATAGGGAATCATATTTATGTAGAAGAATTGCAAAGCAACTACCTCCGGTGATTTAGATAATGATCAAAGTGATCGACAAAGCAAATTAACATTTCAAATGGAGTATCAGAAAAATTGTAGTTCTGCCTGAATCTTTTATACCTGCTGTATCTAAAAGTGTTCCCTAAAATTAACATAACAAAAAAAGAGCACTGAAACAATTCCCTTTGTGGGATTTTGGGTTTGCTTGGATGTTTTTTTACAACGTGCATGTGACAACATTTGATTATACATATGAAACAAGAACTATTCATTTCCACAAACTCAACGTTTTGGTCCACAAAACTCAGCAAAACCCAAGCTCATTAAATAACAGAAGAACACTGCACAATTATGGAGAAGCCACTTCCATCCACTCTTTGTAATTCATCTCCAAATTTCTATGATTCAAAGACACCAGCTATATTTTCACCCCCTCATCCACTAAAAGCCAGATTCATTAGTCTGACTAATAAAGGCAAACCTCCAAATCACACCACTCTGGAACACTCTGGGATGACCAGCTGGGTTGTGTGGGGGTGTAGTACTACTTGTATGCATTGATGGGGAGCTACGCTGTAACGATGAGAAAGTCCACCACATTGTGAGTAGCACCTAGCATCTATCAAACCCAAAGCCACTGAAAACAGTAACTTTTTGGTGCTTTGTTAGAATACCAAGACCTAGTGCACTGAAAGAGCGCTCCAAGAGAAGCTTCATAAATCTAAACTCCTTGCATCATCATCATTAAAAATTATGCTAAGCACAGACTGTGCAGCTCTCCGTACTTTTTTAACAATGGAACATCACAGCTGAGAATTCAGTTATTGGAAACAATATAGGAAAAGCAAAGGACTGAATCTGTTTGCTTATTCTTCTTTCCCATAAAGACAGTAGAAGAGAAAACTATGTGTGTTATGAAACTTACATTTCAAAATCTGACAAACTCTGATCTTCAGATGTTTGACTCAAATCTCCAGGGACCTGTATTTACAAAACAGAAGTAATTCCCACACACTGGTTATTATGCTTTCTATTAAGAGAGCACAGTATTATAAGGAAATTACAATTCAATATTCAATTTTTTTAAATGCCAATAGAAACTGAGAAACAATAAAACAAAAATAAATCACCATGCAACGGGATTATGCACATAACACCCTTGCGAGTTCTTCATGTTTGAATTTGCTATAGTTTTGTAAAGAAAAAGATTGGGGTTTGTAAAAGCATGTAATTTTGAAAGGTATAGAAAACCCAGATAAAAAGCATCATTATTAGGCCTTTATAAGTAAGGTGTGCCAAAACAAAGTACATTGTGTGTATAAACAATTTATGGGAAGAGATGAAGCATATAAAACCTAGCGATCACTTGCTTTTACAGCCAACATTCCACTAAGACACACGATCATTTTATTTTAGCTGTGTTCTTACAAAACATTATATAGCTACAGAAGTCCATAAAGACGGCAATGATGGACTAACGCCTGCAGAGTCAAAAGAAGTTGCAGTCATGAGGAAACAAGATTGAAACAGCAATAGCTTTTTGCCTTACTTTAAAGCTAGTTAAACATGAAAGGGTACCTTCTCTCCTTTAAATACCGTAAAATGTGAAGCGTACCCCAGAATAGTTTGTGTGTTTCGATGAAGAAAAACAGCAAAAAGTTGTGAACTTCAGAGACAGCTTCTACATTAGTTAAACATTGGTTCAGTGTATCTCTCGTGTGTTGCATGCATATTACTATTTTTCAGAATATTTGCTGCCTAAGAAACTTAAATATATATTACTGCTTATTGTAAAGCAGTATTTATTTATTGCAAAGCAATATAAAATTGCAAAGGGGACTAAATAAAATCTCCTTCCCAGGCATTTTGACAGACCAGCTTGAGACCTCCCAATACACAAGCCACAACTGAATTTTGCATGCCAGGATTAACAGGGTACGCCTCAGCAAAAACTGAATCATTCCTGCCAGAGAAAGGAAAAGAAGAAAAGGACTGTGCAGAGCCAAGACAGCTCCAGGACACACACACAGGGCATGTATATGGTGCTGGAACACCTCTGCTGCCCTTTTTAGGGGGATGAGGAGGGAAGGGGACCACCATCAGCTGTTCCCCACGAACCCACCCTCAGTGGCAGCACACGCCTGGCTTTCCCGGGCTGCTGTGCCAGAGAACAGAATCTTCTCTCTTGCCTACTACCCACACCCTCTCTTTACCTATACCTGAAGGGGCAAACCTTGCCTCCAGATATACACAGTTATTTTCATCAACATCAGCAAGAGTTTTGCATAAAAACCTCACAACCAGAGTGTGGACTTTGGAAATAAGAAAAAGGATGGCATTAATGAGTTCCAGTGCTTGCACTTCTGTGTTGAAACAGACTGGTTACTGACTGTGAGATGGTAACTGAAGTGTTGCTCATTGTAATGCACACACAGTGCTGGAGTACATCAAAGTACTTCCCTATACCCTTGAAAGCACATACTTTTTGTTTTAATATTCCTCTGTTTGTTGCAGAAGTTCTGCAACCCAATAACTAGAAATTTGGAAAGATCATTTATAAATTACAGCCATTAAAATTGATTATCAGCATTAAAAGGAAAAGAAAAGACTGTGAACAATCACGGAAGCTATTTTTATAACAAATTAAGTTTTGTACTATTTTAATAATAAAATTTTCAGAGCTTGGCTGATACTTTCAAACAAGTAAAAGGGAGATCGGATATTCATACCCCACAATTTCTGGCAGTTACACCCTTTACCAACTTTGACAGTTCTAACGAGAGTCTACTAAGTAACAGACTATCAGCACAGAGTTTGGTTTACTAATATAGAATTAAAATGTATCCACCTCTTACTTTAATGCAGAAGTCCTCAGGACTGTATTCAATTCACGCTTTCACTTTGGACAATAGCAACTAATAACAACTAGCATTTAGCTAGCCCTTAAAAATACAGTACCACTTCCACTGCTTCAAAAGTTCTAGGACTTCGTTTTCTCTCGGTATCGGATACATTAAAACATATTATCAAAACCTAAGTACTGGAGTAGGATATGGAGATACATGGTTAAAAACAACCTATCTGAACAGGGAAACACAGCCCAACACCTCCAACTAAGAAAGCACAGCTGTAATACTCATGTGATTTGTCATTTGTCATCTCCACACAATAAAGTGATTGTTTCCATCTAAAAGGCTGAAAATGATAGATGAAATCCTGCTTCTCTAACACACACGGAACTGCCATCAGCCACTTCATGTAAATGCTGTGATAAAACAGGCATGAATGCTTCCAGTGCAAACAAAAAAGTAAGGAGCAATACCACGTAATCGTATCAACAACCACATCCAAAGTGTGCCTCCCTCAGAAGATGGACAACTACTAGGAACATTCCTGACTCCTTCTGTTTCCTTCCTGTTTATTTTCCAATTTCAACCAAATCTGTTAACACAAAAAGCTGAAGTGAAGCAATAGTTGGTAGAAAACAATTTTATCATCTGAATATATCTGGTTTACATTCCATTCTGCTAAAGAGAATCAGAGACTATCAAAAACACAAGAACACAAAAGGTGTTCTTGACAGATGTGCTATTCACTTATAAGCTAATATATATTTTATTTCATCACAAGTAATGGTTTTGAGCTTATTCCAGAGTGGTGTTCTACACAGTGATAAACACACACTTACGGGCCCTCTCAAATCAATCAGTTCTTGTCTCATCTGGGACACAAGAGCTTCTTTGGCCATCAGAGCACGGTGCAGCCTCTCGTTGAATTCAATCAGTTCCCCATGCATTTCAGCTACCTGAAAAACAAAGCCAAGAGATAATTGTGTTCTAAACTGAACGAACCTCACACTATGTAATTTCTTACATGTATATCAAGTTTTCTTTATATTTTTTTATTTTACCATACTCTCCAAGTAGTGTGTCTCATTGCTAATGCATTAGTTGGAACTGATCATTAAGAACAGACACTGTTATAATAATTTTGACTCATGCCTTGAAATGTAGGTTTTGATACTGAATTCCATAGGAAAAGATATAACTCTATGTCCAATTCCTGTCAGAGGAGACCCTATGGCAACTGATGCTAACACCTATTAGCTTTTGTTCTCAGTTTAATTCTTCAATGAACACAGCACTCAACAGTTACAAACTAATCACAATATTCCGAACTGGGAATAATGCAAAATGCACAAACTGCACTAAACTTTGTCAATAATTCATGAGTAATATATTCTGCACTCTTACATGGAGCTTGATTAGGACTGGAGCTAGAAGTCCACTCATCCCAGGCAAATCTGTGAGGGGTCAAAGGAGCATAAACACTGCAGTTACGCTGTGCCACAAGTTGTTGTGCATAGGTAAGTAGTGTGGCCTCAAGCAATATCGAGCTACATCTGCACTTGCCATTTTTGAGTCAAAGCGTCAAGAAAGCACCAACTGATGCAGGGTGGTTATGAAAGCGAGCAGGGCTGGGTGAATGACAAGGATGAAAAGTGTACCAATTTACAAAAGCAAACGATGTTTAAGTTGGTTCCCTGCCAAGAGAAGCAAGAAACAATAAAACTCAAATCAAGGTTAAAGATGGTATTGAGCTCTGGAGTGTTTCTTATGCAGAAGTGAAGTGTAAGCCTGCAGCTTAAGGGGGAAGAACTCCAAAAGGACAAGGGTTCCCAAATGGCAAAGGTCTAAAAAAAAGCAGTAACGTGTTATCATCAGGAGAGTGTGATGGGGAAACTAGCAGAAACAGGGAGCAAGGCTAAAAGAAACTTAAAATCTGTGTTCAGCTAGTCCTATCAGAACCATTATACTATAAAATGGAATGAAAGTTTCAATTATGATGGATGGCCCATCAGTACACAATACATCTGGGGCAAGGGAGTTGTCTTGAAGTGATAATGTCACTGGTAGCCTTAGAGCAAAGAAATTTGAGCCAAAAAGTGTTTGTAGAATTATTTTCAAGGAAAAAGAAAGACTTCAGAACACCCCTCTGTTAGAGGTTTCCAACTACATCCTCCCTATATGACTCCTGTATTAGAGCAAAGGAATGCTGATGTCCGAGGTGGAGCTCCAGATGAGCAGTCCCGTGGCAGAGCAAGAAAAGCTACAATTTCAACGGCAGTCAGAGGAAAGCAGCAGCAGTGGTTGGCCCCTCGGTGGGAACAGCAGCCTACCACAACATCAGCGCGGTTAAACATGTTTTTCAGGTTACAGCAACTCTGGAAATGCCTCCTCATTTCGGCACCCAAAGCTCAGAGAGGAGCGAGGCAACAGGGCAACACGGTGAAAGCCCAGCTGAAGAGAGGAACACCAACATGGGCTACTGCCGAGCCTCATCAGCGTTCGGTTCCCTGCTGGAGACCGTTCACACGGTCTACGTGTTTCATGCTTTCCCCTTCTTCAATTACCACTCGGCCTTCTCCCTCTTCCCCAGGGAAGTTCCCCAAGATAAAGCAGTTTAATTCAATTCGTTTAATGTAGTGCTTTGTTCCAGAAAACCTGTAGCCCTCACATAATCAAGGCAAACAGAAAAAACGGCTCCAATTTGACAAGCGAGGAGTGGACATAGAATCGTAGAATAGAATCACAGAATGGTTTGGGTTGGAAGGGACCTTAAAGATCATCTAGTTCCAACTCCTCTGCCATGGGCAGGGACACCCTCCACCAGACCACGTTGCCCAAGGCACCACCCAACCTGGTCTTAAACACTGCCAGGGATGGGGCATCCACAAACTCTCTGGGCAACCTGTGCCAGTGCCTCACCACTCTAACAGTAAAGAATTTATTTCTAACATCTAATCTAAATCGACCCTCCTTCAGCTTAAACCCATTCCCCCTTGTCCTGTCACTACACTCCCTGACAAACAGTCCCTCTCCATCTTTCCTGTAGGCCCCCTTCAGGTACAGGTAAGCTGCAATTAGATCTCCCTGGTGCCTTCTTTGACATCATTGATTAGAAATAAAAAATAAAAATAATTATATCTGAGTTGAACTTCAAGTATTCTTTTCCAATTTCTTTTTATATTAGAGGGAGTCCTTCAAATCCAGTAATTCATCAGTGTGGCATATACACAAAAAGAGCTAAACTAAGCCCAGATATTATTTGTCTAGACCGATCTCTCTCACTAATTCCTAATTTAGAAACTATTCTGAAATGCTCAGCAAATTACAAGCTAAAGACAGGTACCGTAACTGAAATAACAACAAACTTTCCTCGTAGTGGGACTATCAGAAGTACAAATGCTAAAGATTTCACAGAGTGATTATTTAAAACCAAACAGGCAAACATTTTTATTTGTTTGCCTGATTATGTAAGCAGTTTTAGGTTAATATTGATGCTTTATCTTACACATTACAACACAAAAAGCTTGCAACACGTCCCAGTTACCACTTAGTTCCACTCCTCACCTTCTGAAGTGCAAAGGTTTAATGTAGCATTAATATAGTTTCAACAAAGCTTTTTATTATTATTATTATTTATAGTGTACTAAAGCAGCTTTAATTTACTGCTTTTGGTTTTGTTCTTGTCAAGCATTTCTGTTGCACTTAATCCCATTAGAAAAACTAACGTCCCAGCCTCATAATTAGACTCTTCTCTGGCTCCTCCTGATAAAAATCAGAACATCAGGACTTCCATGGTATCAATTAATGACATTACGTATTCATATCTCAATTGTTCATTCAACATCAGCCTTGATAAAAAAGGTTCTTTGCTTCCAACACTTGTTAGTAATTAGTAAGCCCATTCTGCAAAAACAAAAGATATCTAAATGAAATGAGCTTCTGGGTTACGACTGACGTAGTAGATGCCACTCAGCAAGCAGGTTTGCTTCAGAAATTACAAACATTGATGCACCAAACAGAACTGCCACCCTTCTCTGGCTAAATTACTTTCCATACTAGCTTAACCACTCATTCCAATTCAGAGTGGTGTAGGAATTAAGAATATCGTACGCCCCTCTCTGATTCAGGTTAATATTACCTGGTCATTGTTAACTCCAGAAAGCCCAGGCTGCGAGTCAGAACTTCCTCATCTTTCACATACAAAAAGATTCAGCCTGCTACTGGTTGCAAATGCAGAGAGAAAAAACATGGGAGTTGGTAGATCGGTTATCAAAAGCAATATACAAATTTATGACTGGGTACAAAACTCAGTCAGTTACATCTTTGAAATCATGTTTGATTTTTCAGTGCCTGTCTCTACCAGAAGAACAAAATCCAATGTAGTATCTGACTGTTTTCTCTCCCTCTAATTTGGATGTCCTTGAAATAACTTTCTACTTGCAGGCTCAATTAATATGTAAATTCAACAGCTCTCTCAAAACACTGGAAGCAATACAAAAATTTGTAAGTGTCCCTAGCAAAGTTAAATAATAAAAAGAAAATTGAACAGCAAATAAAACAGCAAATCACTTGTTCTATATTATCAAAAGGACAAATTGGCAGGTATGTTACTTTTGAAAATCACTTTTATTAGTAATTAAGTTACTGCAGTACTTTTTCTTGTCAAAGAAAAATGCATTACCATCACAGCAAACCAAAAGGAGCATTGAGATATACCTCTAAAGAACAATATTAATTTAGGTTCCTCTAACTTTTCCTGTATCAATGTCGGCTAAAATCAACAAAGAGGTCTCCTTATAATTACATCCTTTCAGTTACATTTTATGTCATCACATCTTCCTTTATTCATTCCACACTGAAGGTTAAGCAATAATTTTCCCTACTGGGATTTCAATCATCTCACAGTTGTTTTTCTCCACGACAATAGGTTTAAAGCAGAAAATGAAAGAACACATGAGCAAAGTTTATCTTGGCCAGATGATCATTGAGATTTGGCCCTGGTCGTACCAGAAAGCAAAAGAGCCCAAATCCTCCTCACGCAGGGAAGTGAGGCTAACATAAAATACTCAGACTCCACACCCACAGAACTCTAAAAACCTGCTGTCAACAGAAAACCCAGGTCTAACCCTGCTGCCCAACAGCACTGCCACTGTGCTGCGCGGCATGACCACGACTAAGAGTGGTCTCCAGAAAATAAAAGGGAAACGTCACTTTGTGCTCTGTTGCAAAGGCCTAAGCTGTTACAACGTGCTAGGAATGTTCCACTAACGGTATGAATAATGCACTCTGTCTTAGAAGGCCATGCTTTTAGAGCAGAGGAAGAGACTTTTAAGAACTTGCAACAAGAGAAAATTAGTAAGGTTTTTTAAAAGGGTGTTTTGGTGGAATTCAGGGGTTTTTTTAACATAATTTGCAGCTAAAATTCATAGAAGTTTTTTGCACGAGCGACATCTGAATTAATGACTTTTTGTCAGGTACAGGCATTTCCCCCCCCAATTGCCACAAAACAACATATTTCCCAAGAAACTCTAGACAGAACTGGAAGTTGCTTCCTTTCGCTCTCAGCAGAAGCACGGGTGTATTCTTCCCCATGAGAAGATGCCCTTTTTCAAAAATCAACTTTTGTCTGCATTTTTCCCCAAGAGTAATAAAGCCAAAGGTCTTCAAGAAACAGCAGGTATCCTATTAAATATTAGTAAATTCATTCTTCTACAAGTGAAAAACAGTACAACTGAAAATGGCACACAGTTCAGACAAAGCTATCGATATAGCCATAAAATGCTTAGCCATTGCTTTCTTTTTCAAAGCTTCCATTTTTTATTCTTGACATTTCCATCTGCAAGGACGTTATTCGGTTCCAAGGAGAAAGATCCATTTAAGAATAGGGTTGGGGTTTGGTTGTTTTGGTGTGGGTTTATTTGATGTTGTTTAGTGGATTTTTGTTTGTTTACTATAG